AGAATAACATCTTGAGACACTTTTTCATTAATATCTTCAGAAGTTATAATTTTATTATATAGATCAAGAAAATTAACTGAGTCGATATTTGTTTCAGAAGTAGATTCAAATTGCGAAGTTACTGTTTTTCTGAGATCGTTAGTTGACAGTTTCTGAATAAGTCTTTTCAATACGGGAAAATCTTCTCTATTTGCAGATTTCTTTTTTTTATTTGACGATTTAGCAGAGGTAGCTTCACCAACACGTTTAGATGGTAAATTACTTGTAGTGAAGTCAGGTATGCCAGGTTCTTTGTTTTGTGAATTATTTTCGGAGTTCTCTTCTACGATTGTATCTAGATTCACTAAAGAATTTTTACCAAATATTAACAGATCTTGTGATCCTTCATCTATGCTCATACTTCTTTGTAATGGAGCCCACATTAGTGGTGACTTTTCAATGATTTCGATTTCCGCACTACAATTATTGACAGGACATGTAAACATAGTTTCTCTAAGGTTCTCAAGACAAAGACGGTGCACAGTATGACCACACGTTAATACAGTGAATGACTTTTTAAGTATGTGCAAAAAAATTTCTTCATTGCATATAGAACACAAATCTAGTTCAGGAACTTCAACACCACTTGCAATAGTTTCAGGAGATCTGTTTTTAAGAATATTCAATGCAAGGGTTTTAAGGCATGTAATATTCATACTTGCAAGTTTTTGTTTATTGCTATATTTCAACCAAATAATGCGTATTTTATAATGTCTCATAAAATGAGGATGCTCCGTATCTAGCAATTTTCACAGATCAATATGTCTAGACACAAAACACTACAATCAAAAAATTAGTAATTTCGGATTTGGCGATCTATTCATTCAGAATTATTTAGTATGAACTAAGGACTGATCGATCTACTGGCTATCGTGAATGATTAGTGAAGAAAAGGGGAGTATACACTTTATAGTTTTTATTTCACTTCGACACCGCCAATTTATAAGAAAAAAAATATTAATATAAAAATATATCTCTCAATTGTGATCCTGCCTTCTCGCAATGTTTCCTTAAAGGAAACTATAGTTAGTTAACAGATTTTTAGTTTCTGAAACAATTAACTATATATTTTTTTTTTCGAGCTTGCGAGAAAAAAGGGGAATAGCATTAGGAAAATGGTGGACAACTAGTCGTTTTCATTATATTTTACAGTCTGAGTCGGTCAACGAATATAAGCTTTATTTTTGGAAATAAATTTTGGAAATCAGTTAATATATCCTTTCTAATCCATAAACATTCCCTAATTTCTATAATTTCCAAACTAGAGGCCAGTTTTGGAATTTTTATAATTGTTTTTGGGCTTAAGCGCCTGGAGCCTCTTATTACAAGTGATTTTAAATTGGGGCACTCAACTAGAAGCGCTTTCAGATTTTTATTGTTAAGTATATGTGACCCACAATTTTCAAAACTTAGCCGTTGCAAATTTGGGCATGCCTTGCACACTTCAGAAATGTATACATCTGGTCCTATATTTATTTCTCCAATAAATTTTAGACCTAGCACTTGAGTACATGCAACTGGCTTCATATATTTGTTTAATGCCATAGTGAACTTGACTCCAGAAATACCTGTTAGAATTATTCTTTGCCATGTTAGTCTACTAGCAATATAGTACCATTGCTTGTTAACCAATAAAAGTTTACTTATTTTCCCCCCATTCACACTGTGATACTGAAAAATTCTTTCAAATATTTCATTTGGCATTGTAGATATATAACGGATGGTTGATTTTTTCGAGTTCGTGGGTGTGGTTGGGATTATTTTTTCGAAATTAGTCCACTCTAGTCGCATCACATTCTTTATTGAAACATTACCTGAATTAACTATTTTTAGATCTCTCTGCCCACCTTCATATCTTCTTCCAAGCAACTGATCTGTAGCTTTACCCGAAATGATAAATCCATCTGTGTGGATACGCTTTACACGGTCTCCTAATGGTCTAATTTCTTCTGATATAATTTTGCGTCCTCTTGCTGAAATAAATGGAGCCATACACCGATGAGGTCCTGGTCTTCTCCCATCTGAGTATAATCGTCTCCAGAGAGATACTAACATATGCTTAGCTACTTTCCCTGCCTGTCCACCTTCATTCTTAATTGTTGTAAGGTAACTTGCCCATTGATAGAAAATATCATACCCACTCATGAGCTGATTTTGCCCGAATATTAGAGCATTAGGACTTTCGGAAGATAATTCTATGTGAAAACCCAGGTCTATTGCAGTCAGGGAATTTTCCAAATTTGGATGTCGACGATCATTCCTAATTTGGTAACAATCGACGATCAGATTGT